ATAAATGCAGGTTCCGATTCAGTGAATGTACCCCGAAAGTCTGCATTTCTACGATGCCCCAAATTAGCAATGCCGCTTCTGGTGTAGGGACCACAAATTGCAGACAAAAGCTTCAGGGTTTATCCCGGTGACAACTTCAACCTGGAGCGGAGGTCAGAGCTGGGCTGGTGTTTCCTGATCCTCGAAGTCTCCAGCAATGGCTTGGAGTTTTCCGGCTTCATCCTCAAGGGCACGCTTTCCTTCTCCATAAGTGCCTGATGGCAGAGACGAACATGCATGGAGATTCTGACCTGCTAGGTGCTGTTTCCTGAAAGCTCCCACAGAGCAGCAGCAGCTGCTGGTCAGGTAGGTCCCAGCACACAGAATGCATGCACAACACGTGACCTTTCACAGAAAGTAGCGACAACTCACAGGTGCAAGTCACCAAGCCCTAAAAGTGCAAGTGAGAGCGCAGAAGGAAAAAAGCAACTAAAGACTTTTTTTCTTTATTTTTGAGAGGGAGTTTTGCTCTTGTTGCCCAGGCTGGAGTGCAGTGGTGCAATCTTGGCTCACCGCAACCTCTGCCTCCCAAGTTCAAGTGATTCTCCTGCCTCAGCCTCGCAAGTAGCTAAGATTACAGGCATTCGCCCCCATGCCCAGCTAAGCTTTTGTATGTGTAGCGGGGTTTTTCCATGTTGGTCAGGCTGGTCTTAAACTCCCGACATCAGCTGATCCGCCCACCTTGGCCTCCCAAAGTACTAGAAGTACAGGCGTGAGCCACTACACCCAGTCGACTTTTTTTTTTTTTTTTTTTTTTTTTTTGAGACAGAGTCTCACTGTGTCACCCAGGCTGCAGTGCAGTGGCACAATCTCAGCTCACTGCAACCTCCGCCTTCCAGGTGGCAGCCATTCTCCTGCCTTAGACTCTGGAGTATGGGATTACAGGCGCCCACCACCATGCCCAGCTAATGTTTGTATTTTTAGCAGAGATGGAGTTTCACCATGTCGGCCAGGCTGGTCTTAAACTCTTGACCTCGGCCTCCCGAACTGCTCGGATTACAGGCATGAGCTACCTTGCCAAGCCTAAAGACTTTGAAATTCTTAACAAATGTACCTTACCTAACAAAAAAATACATTTAACTCTTCTCTAAACTAGGTACTATTGTGTTATCAACCTCAGCTGTCAAAAAACTCCTATGCTTGAGATATATATACTTAATATATAGAAAAAGTATTAAAACAGCCAGAAGTAGTCCATTTTCACAACTGGTGCAACTGTTATCCATAGTACCATGGCAAGAAATGTGCAAAATATCAAGGAAATTAAATAATTTTTTTGACCCTCCACTAGTGGTTTTTACAATGTTTTTACTGGGAAAAATTAAATCTGGAGACCTGGGTCACTGGGCCTACATTTTAAATTCAGCCTCCACGGGGTTTGCAGAGCCTTTCCATACCCCTTCTCCACCTCCAGCACCCTGACCTAACCTTAGTTCAAAAGCCTCATTGGAGCTTCCTTCAACCTTCCTCCTCCCTTAAACCCAAGTTCTTCAGCAGCGCAGCAAACTTTGCCACTTTCAGCCCAGCCGCTAGGGCTGCTGGGCTGCTCTTAGGGTGCCCTCTGCTGGCCGCACATGGAAGCAGTAGTAAAAGTCTTAAATCTTCCTTTAAGAATTCCAAGAATAAAAATTAAATTAAAAAAAAATTTTGGAAGAAAGAAAAAATTAGTGTTTGTTTTGCTTAGTTAGCATCTTCGGTCTCTGGGATTCAACGGGAGGTAGTTGTTGATGCAACAGGAGGTAGTTAACAAAAGTTTGGATGGCCGGGTGTGGTGGCTCAAGCCTGTAATCCCAGCACTTTGGGAGGCCGAGGTCGGTGGACCACCTGAGGCCAGGAGTTCGAGACCAACCTGGGCCAAATGATGAAGCCCCAACTCTACTAAAAATAAAAAATTAGCCAGGCATGATAGTGCACCCCTATGATCCCAGCCACTCGGGGGACTAAACATGAGAATCACTTAAACCTGGGAGGTGGGGGTTGCAGAGAGCTGAGATCATGCCACTGCGATCCAGCCTGGGCAACAAAGACCTTGTCTCAAAAAAAAGAAAAAGAAGTTTGAGAGCTCCAAGGTCACACTCCAGAAGTTTTCACTATTTTATCTTATTATATATATTTTTTGTAGACATAGAATCTTGCCATGTTTGTCATGCCCAGCCCTCCAGAAGCTTCTTAAAAGCACATTGAAGGCCAGGCACAGTGGCTCACACCTATAATTCCTACACTTTAGGAGGCCAAAGTGGGAGGATCACTTGAGTTTGGGAGTTCAAGACCAGCCTGGGCAACAGGGCAAGACTCCATCTCTACAAAAAAAATATTTAAAATTAGCCAGGCAATTTTTTTAGTAGTGGTCCCAGCTCCTCAGGAGGCTGAGGTGGGAGGAACGCCTGAGCCTGGGAGGTAGAGACTGCAGTGAACCGAGATCATGCAACTGCACTACAGCCTGGGAGACAGAGTAAGACCCTGTCTCAAAAATAATAATAAAATAAATTCAAAAGCATATTGAAACAGTATAGAACTCCTACAACTCAACAACAAAACAAACAACTTCATTAAGAAATGGGCAATGGACTCGAACAGACATTTATTTAAGCAGATAAACAAATGGCCAACAGGGACATTTTAAAATGCTCAACACCATTAATCGATTAATGAGGGAAATACAAATCAAAACCAAAACACAACCAGGCAGCTGAGCCAGCGGTCTCAGCTACTCCAGAGGCTGGGGCAGGAGGATCACTTGTGCCCAAGAGTTGCAGACCAGCCTGGGCAACATAGTGAGACCCCCATCTCTAAAAACAAAATAAAATAAAAATAAATTATTTTTGGAAACATCCATCATGATGACTACAAGTAAAAATGAAACAGAAAATAACAAATGTTACTGAGGATGTGGAGAAATTGGAATCCTTGATTGTAGGAATGTAAATGCTGCAGCTACTATGGAAAACAGCATAGCAGCTCCTCAAGAAATTAAAAATAGAATTATCGTAAGATCCAGCAATTCCACTTCCAGGCGTATATCTAAAAAAATTGAAAGCGGAGTCTTGAAGACATATTGTACACCGATATTAATAGCAGCATTATTCATAATAGCCAAATGGTGGAAGCAAGCTGAGTGCCCATCGGCAGATGGCCAGATAAACAGAATGTGGCAAATCCACACCCCGTATTCAGACCTAAGGAGGGGCACGCTCATATACAGCATGGACGAGTCTTGGTGACATGATGCTAAGTGAATAAACCTGTCGCAAAAACACAAATACTATGATTGTACTTAGGGTATCTCGAATAGTCAAACTCACAAAGACAGAGTAGAACGGGGGCTGGGGGGATGGGGAAATGAGGCGTTTTTGTTTCATGGGTACAGCGTTTCAGTTTTGCAAAGTTCTGGAGGTGGGCTGCACAGTGCATATGCTCACTGCTACTGGACTGTATACACTTAAAATGGTTAGATTGGTAAATTTTGTTGTGTATTTTACCACAATTTTTTCTTTCTTTGTTTTTTTTTTTTATTAAAAATAAAGATGGGGTTTCACCACGAGGGCCAGGCTGGTCTTGAACTCCTGACCTCAGGTGATCCACCCACCTCGGCCTCCCAAAGTGCTAGGATTACAGGCGTGAGCCACCGCACCTGGGCTTTACCACAATTTTTTTTTTTAATTTTGAGACAGGGTCTCACCCTGTCACCGAGGCTGGAGTGCAGTGGCATGATCTCGGCTCACTGCAGCCTCCACCTCCCAGGCTCAGGCCATCCTCCCACCTCAGCCTTCCCAGTAGCTGGGATCGGAGGTGTGTGCCACCACGCCTGATTTTTTTTTTTGTAGAGATGGTGTTTCACCTTGTTGCCCAGGCTGGCCTCAAGTGATTCTCCCACCTGAGCCTCCCAAAGTGCCGGGATTATAGGCATGAGCCACTGCGCCCAGCCCCAGAAACAATTGTTTTGAGTAGATTGAAACAACACATCCACACAATGATTCTTTCTTGTGCTGGCCTGCTCCAGATCTGACTCAGCTCCTCGAAACTTAGAAAGCTGCAGCTCGCAGGGATTTAAAGATCTAGTTTAATATTATAGATTAAAATACTGAAGGCCACAATGGGCAAAGTGACTTGGGAAAAGTCTCCCGAACTTAATAGCAGAGACAAGGCTAGTTCGTCTGGCTCCTGACTCCCAGACTGTTGCTCTACCCTGTGCTCCAATTCCAGTGGGGACAGCCATTTCCACACACGGGGGGTAAAGGCACCCTACCCATTCGGGCCTCCTTCCCATACAGCAGAGGTTGGAGGTAGGCGAGCCTGTGAGGACATGCACCTTTGGTTAAAGCTCCTGAATGAACCTGGAGGGAGATGAGGAGAGACAAAACAGGTGAGCGCTTAAAAACGCAGCCAGGCAGGTGAGCCTGTAGTCCCCGCTACTCCAGAGGCTCCAGGTGGTGGCTCACACCTATAATCCCAGCACTTCAGGAGGCCGAGGTGGGCAGATCGCCCGAGGTCAGGAGTTTGAGAGCAGACTGGCCAACGTGACGACCAAACCCCGTCCCTACTAGAAATACAAAAATTAGCCAGGCGTGGTAGCAGGTGCCTGTAATCCCAGCTACTCAAGAGGCTAAGGCATGAAAGGAACTTGAACACGGAGGGTGGAGGTTGCAGTGAGCAGAGATCACACCACTGCACTCCAGCCTGGGGGATAGAGGGAGACTCTGTCTCCAAAAGGACAAACAAAAAAAAAAATGCTGACAGGATAAAGCCTGAGTATTTTTGTTTCCCATTGAGTTACTTTGTAGCTTTCCCCAGCCTCAAGTCATAAAAAGAGTTTGGAATGATTCCTTCAAAGTGACATATTCTGCTACCTTGTGAATGACGGACACTATTTTCTGCCTCCAGTAATATCACAGCATGAGACATACCCAGAAATAATTTTTTATTTTACTTTGATGATTAGGAAAAGATACCAACATAGCTTTCATCGAAGCTAGCAAATAACTTTACTGGCAGTCAACTGACTAATTTTATTAAAATAAAGACGTGTCTGTTTAAACTAAACAATTGGCCCTTTGTTGTGGCTGGGACCTTGCAAATCAGGCCAAGGTGCTAATCAGAAAACAGTCACCATCACATCGACCTCCTCCCCAGCACATGGCACGGAGATGCCACAAAGGCGCCATCGGTCCCTAGAAGAGCACCTGAGGCTCCACCTACCGAGTCCCAGCGGCTTCTTTTGAAAAGCTTTGCTTTCCACTAGTAAGGTGCGGCCCAAGTACATTTTCAGGGTTGCCAGTGGCTCATGGTGCGGGCGTATGAGGTAGTTCTTTGCATTTTTGCAGATGTTCTCGCTTGCCCCGGGGGTGGATGTCCCGAATCTGAAACCTCTGGCTTCACATTCCTAGTGGGAATAACCCCCAGACCCCAGTCACAAGTCCGTCTACACCCCGCTGCAGACTCTAGTTCTTCAAATCCAAACCGATGTTTTCTTCATCCACAGGTTTAGGTTTTAACTGGCTGCTCAGCGTTAAAAAGGAGTATCTCAAGCCCCCTGCCATGCTGAAAGGAGGGAAAAAAGTGAAAGTAAGTGACTGGGAATGTCACACGGGCTACCAGCAGCTGCTGCTGCTCCTTTATCAATTCAGCCTGCTTCATGCAGAGGGAACTATTCCAATATCCTCAACTTTGCACATTGCTTGATGAGAATTGCCCATCTTATTTACAAGCCTTTGGAGGCAGAAAAACAGTCATCAAATCTAATGCAGAACCTCGGAGAGAAAATAAGCACGTGGTTTTTACTGAACAAACTACATACCCTTAGCCTTAAATAGCATCCCTCTGCTGAGACCCCAAACGCCTTCCAAAGCTGGCTTAGTCCACACCCCCTGCATGCTGAGCCTAGTGGGCACAAAGGTAACACACCCCACTTCTAGGAGGAGGGCAGAGGACACAGGGGCCTTCTGTGAGGAAGACAGGTGAGTTAAATTCCATCCCAGCCCCTCGAACTGTCACCACACGTGTCCCCATGGATCCGCATGAGGATGAACCTAGCGATCTAAGTAAAATTAGCTCCGAAATTAGAATGTCAAAACTCCTCTTGGCTTAACATGAACGAATTCTCTAGGCTCTTGTGCTTATTACATATTAACCAAATTGTTTAAGATTCTTGTTTTCCCAAAGCGAGTCCATTAAAAATTCCCACTCACCAAATATTTAACCCTACAAAGTTTAACAGAGAGAAAATGTAGTCTCCACCGATCAACATCCCGATGTAGGCAACAGATACATTCTGCAGAAAAACAGAGGATTTGTCATTTTCAAAGTAAAATATTTAGGGGAAAACGTGGTAAAACCTGAAACTAGACATTGTAGTTACTTTGCATCGAGGCTTGTACAGAGGGATATTCACAGGGGTTGAACAAAATAAACACCATTACAGTCCAGGAATCATGGCTCACGCCTGTAATCCCAACACTTTGGGAAGCCGAAGTGGAAGGATCACTTGAGCCCAGGAGTTTAAGACCAGCCTGGGCAACAGAGTGAGATCCCATCTCTACAAAAAAAGTTTTTTAAGTAGCCGGGCAGGCTGGCACATGCCTGCAATCCCAGCTACTCCACAAGGACTGAAGTGGGAGGGCTGCTTGTGCCCAGGAGGTCAAGGCTGCAGAGAGCTACACGCCACTGTACTCCAGCCTGGGCAACACAGCAAGACCCTGCCTCAGAAAAATAGATAAATAAATAAGCCATTAAATATGGGGCTTAATAAATAAATCATGGTATGATAACAACAGAAAATTGTGTTATTGTCTCCCCTGTTCCAGTTGGCATGCAGGCAAAAGAGGAAGAGTGGGGCTGTCATCTGCTTGCCAGGTCCTATCTCTTTACCATCATTGGGTTTTTGGATTTTCTTTTTTGAGACAGAGTCTCACTCTGCTGCCCAGGCTGGAGTGCGGTGGCGCAATCTTGGCTCACTGCAACCTCCGCCTCCCAGGTTCAACCGATTCTCCTGCCTCAGCCTCCGAAGTAGCTGGGACTACAGGGCGCCTGCCACCACATCTGGCTCATTTTTGTATTTTTAGTAGAGACAGGGTTTCACCATGTTG